CAGTGTTCTACCAAAAACCCACTCTGGCGGTAGGGAAAGTGTGCCATCAAGGAAGAAAGTGTTGATGTTTATTTGGTACATCAGCAACACCATAACATTTCGACAACTTGGCAACCTATTTGGAGTATCTCAGTCTACTGGTTGGTCTGTTGTAAACAACGTTTCAACATGGATGGTATCAATTGGCCACGAGTATATGAAATGGCCACAAGGTACCGCAGCAGTAGACACGAAAAGGAAATTTAAAGAAAAGAGTGGAATACCGGGAGTTATTGGAGCCATTGACTGCACGCATATTCGCATCAAAGCTCCAAAAGAAAATAAGGAATGCTATTTTGATCGGAAGCATAGCTACAGCTTAGTACTTCAAGCAGTAGTGGACGCTGATAAAAGATTTACCGACGTAAATTGTGGTGAGCCTGGATCACTTCACGACTGCAGAGTCCTTCGAAGATCTAACCTGTTTTTTAAAGCGCAGTCGGAGCCACAAAGTTTATTTCCAAACGAATCCTTCATTTTGGGTGATTCTGCATATCCTTCAACAAGCTGGTTAGTACCACCTTATAAGGATTACGGCAACTTGAGCGTATCGCAACGAAATTTTAACAAAGTGCACTCTTCTACCCGCATCGTTGTAGAAAACGCCTTTGGGTTATTAAAAACTCGATTTAGAAGATTGTTACATTTTACAGAACAAACCAATTTATGTTTCGTTGTCAATCTAATTGTTAGTGCCTGTATTCTCCATCATATTTGTATAACATTTGACGATTTAGATACTGAAATTGCCCAAAACGAATACCTTGAAAATAATATGGAAGATGAGCCTCTTACAGGCAATCACCATGTAAATTGTAATCGAAGAGATGTATTGTTTGCTTATTTGCAGGGGCAAAATTTGATTTAAAAACTAATAAATAAGTATAGGTTCGGGCGAAACCGAACTTTATACACGCACGTGTTAAACATCTTTTTTCGCATTTTTTATAAACTTCTTATCTTCGAATTAAAAGCAGGTGTTTTTATTCCCTACTTCAAAAATTTTCAATATATTACCTTTTTGTACCAAGGACAATAGCTGTACCGTTTGGTAGAAATCGATAAATTGGCTACCGGGATACACATACATATCTAGTCTTAAGTTGGTGACGCCACGCCCATTTTCCAAAAATTTCTGATAGTAATATTTGCTGCTAAGAGGTTATTGTAAATAATTGTTATGCGAACAAAGTTGTAATATCCTTGTGCACAAGCACGCTCGGATATAAAAGGAAAAATAGCCGCACTTTGCTAAGCCAACGGTGGGCAATTTGCTATCGCGGCTC